TGCATGTTACTAGACACATTATGAAGCAAGCAGGCAAATGTGTTTAGGCACAAAGGTACTACTTATAGAAAATTTGCAAATGTTCTATGTTTTTTGCTCTTGTAACATTGTGTATGATCCATCTTTGACTTCGCACAGATTAATTCTTAAGAACACTATGTGGGAGTCCCCATGGGTTAATCCCATCTTTCCCATGATAAAGGAAAAGTTGTGAGTTTCAAGGGTTCATCAGACCTGTTGAGGAAGTTCTTCCTTACGACCATCTCAAAGTTCTAGTCACTAAGCAACCCCCAAAGAAACCTGATTTAGTGTAGGCGTTGATTTGAACTACTAGAAGCATGTCAATTTAAAAATAGTATTAAAAGGAAAAACTGCCCAAAGCCTCTCACTTATTTAGAGTAATGAGGGGTACCTACTGTGTGTCCGGCATTGGGATGTTGCAGGAACAAGACAGATCTAGTCTGCCTCTACCCTTGGGGAGCTTGCAGTCTGAAAGGCAGTAATGACTATGGAACAAATTGTGCCCGTGCTAAATGCTGTGAAGAGATGTTCAGGATGCCGTGAGGACATGTTGCAGGAAGGTAGATGGCTTTTGCCTAGACTGAGGAGGTGGATCTCAACAGGGAGCCATCTTGCACCCCAGGGAACATTTGCTGCTGTCCGGATACTTTTTGGTTATCCCAGGGGCTGGTTTGGCAGAGGGTGCTGCTGACATCTAGAGTTGGGGATGCCACTGAACATCCTGCAAAGGCACAGGACAGTTCCACCCCACCACTGAACAATTAATTATCGGATCCAAAATGCTGCTAATGCCAAGGTTGAGAAACTGTGGGGCAAGGGTCAAGGAAGGCTTCCTAGACAACGTGACATTAGAGCTCAGACCTGAAGGGGAAGCAGAAATCGGGTGAGTGGGGGGGGGGGGGGGGGGGCGCAGAGCTTTGTGGTGAAGGAGCCAAGCGGAGAAAAGAGGACCGAGTACTGAAGGGCTGGCAGGATCAGTAGGGACCAGGTTGGCCAGGGCCTTGCAAATCAGGGGACAGATTTTGGGGTCATCCTTAGAAGAGGGAAGTGTTTGAAGGGCTGTAATGGGCAGTATGTGATGTGACTGCCATTTCCTGAAGCACACTCTGGCTGTCCAATGGAGCAGGAATTGGAGGGGCCATTGTGGACGTGGGGAACTGTGAGGAGGCTGCTGGAGACGTATCAGTGAGAGGTGATTAAGAGTCTCTCAGGCTCTGGGACTGATTGGGTTCAGCGTGCTGAGAGAAGAGGTGGGGGCAAGGATGAGTCATCTGTTTCTGTCACCTCCACCATGAGTAGTAGTGCTGTTTACTAACTTGGGCACTGAAGGAGGAGGACCAGGTTTTAAAAAATGGTTTTATGTGGTTCAGCGTACATAACATACAGTTGATTAAGTGTAATGAATTTCAAGTGTACAGTTCTACGGCATTAAGTACCTACACAATTTTTCAAAATGTACTTTGACTTTTACGGGGAGGCAAGGCTGATAAGTTCAGCTTTGGACAAATTGCATTTGAGATGCATGTGAGATGGCCAGCCACCGTGTTAGGTAAACAGTTAGATATTTGGGCCTGTAGAAGACAGATATAGTTGGGAGGTATTTTGGGGGGGGGAGTCATATTAGGTGGCAATTTGAGTAGGTTTTTTTTTTTTTTTTAAAGAGTTGGGGGTCTGGCTGGGCACAGTGGCTCACACTGTGAGCCCCATTACTTTGGGAGGCCGAGGCAGGCAGATCATTTGAGGTCAGAAGTTGAAGACCAGCCTGGCCAACATGGTGAAACCTTGTCTCTACTAAAAATACAAAAAAATTAGCTGGTCGTGATGGCATGTGACTGTAGTCCCAGGTATTCAGGAGACTGAGGCAGGAGAATCATTTGAACCCAGAAGGCTGAGGTTGCAGTGAGTGAGGATTGCACCGCTACACTCCAGCCTGGGTGACACTCTTGTCTAAAAGGGGAAAAAAAAAAAAAAAAAGTTGTCGGG